TGAACCTGGGTAACTGAAAGAATGGTGAGATCCTAGATAGAAATAGAAACATTAGGAGTAAGGTGGATTTAGGGAGCAAAACAATGAGTTCTGTTTTGGATGTACTGAATTTGAGATACCCATGGGATATCCACTTAGAGATATCAGGAAGCAGTTGACAATGGGGATTAAGGCTCAAGAGAGAGAGAGACAGAGAGACAGAGAGAGAGAGAGAGTTGGTTATTGAGATTTGGGAGTTATCTGTATAGAGATGATCGCTGAGACGATGAAAGCTGATGACACTACCTAGAAGGAAGCTTCCCTTTACCTTTGCATCCCATCTTCCAGAGTCCTACCTGCAAATTGGGGGATACTGAATAATGTTTTGGCAGCTCTGAGCACTTCCTACTCACAGTGCCTGTTCTATAGCTGTTTGCAGCTTCTACATGTTGTCTCCCTCATTTAGAGAATGAGCTCCTTGAGAGCAGGGACTGTCTGGCTTTTTTTCTATTTGTTTTCCCAATACTTAGCATATTGCTTGGTACATAGTGTGGGCTTAATAAGCGTTTTTTTTTTTCATTCATCCAGTCATTCATTATTGAAGAAAACATGTATTTTGGTTCCCTCTCCAAGGCTGGCTACTCCCTCTCTCTTTTTTTGTCTCTCAGCTACTGGGGTAAAGTGACTTACACAGTTACTAAGTGTCAAGTGTCTGAGAGCACATTTGAACTCAAGTCCTCCTGACTTCAGGGTTGGTGCTCTATCCACTGTGCCATCTAGCTTGCTCCCTCTCTCATCTCTTGACATGAGGCTAGGAGGAGGAGTTGGAACATTCTTTGCTCCCCTGTTATACATTAAGAACTTCCCTCCGCTTTTAGTCACTCAGCAACCAGATGTCCTCTATTAAAATTCATTCCATCCTGTCCAGATCTCACAGCTGTAGAATGCTATATATGTTGCAAGATGATGTAATTGTGTTGATTAGCTTTGCTCAACTGTTCCTCTGTTAAAAGAGAGAGTTCATTGTGTGTCTTGGGGTAGGGTGTAATATCAGAAAACGACTATAATGTAAGAACAAACAGCATTAAAAAAAAAAAGCAAAGTATCCAAAATAAGGGAGGTGACAGCTCTATTATTCTCTATGTTGCTTAGACCATGACTAGAGTATTATGTTTTGGGGTGGGGGAGAGCACAACTTTTAAAGGATGTTGAGGAGTTTTCTCAGAGAATGGTAACCAAAATGGTGGTAAATCTTATCATATGAACATTGCCTAAAGGATGAATTGAACAGGGATGTTTAGGTTGGAGAAGAGAAGACTTAGGGGGAACATGATCATGGTTTTGAAAGAAACAAAGAAAGGAAGGAAGGAACAAAAGAAAAGAAAATCTGTAGAATTAGAGACGAGTTGGGTTAGAAGTAAACATGACTGACAAGGGTGCTTCCTCAATTGGAAGTACTGGGGAGGAATGCACTAATTGAGGAGGCTGTAGGATCAAAGGCATTGCCAGCATGAGAGATTCCACTGGTGTAGAGATAAAAAAGTAGCCTGGAGATTGAAAAATCAGATGGGCATTTTTGTTAAGTTCATAATAATGAAGGAAGAGGAGGAGAAAAGAATTTTAAAAGGAAAAATAAGATGGAAGAAATCATATAATAAAAAGTGGTCAACTCGTATGTTCTGCTTGTAACCTCTCCATATCAGGAGGAGAGGAAACCTTGTCCCCCATATTGGGTGACCTAAGTGGAAGATTTGTGGGAGGACACAGGCAAGAATCATACAGAATGGGCAGGCGTGGATAAGTTTTGATCTGTATGGTTGTAGTGAACATGCCTACTGATGAGATCACAAATCTCATTTGAGTATTTTAAGCCAAAATCCTTCACTTATTACTCCCATCCTAGTTCTACTTCCATGCTCCGTGATAATTAATAATTAATTTAAATTGAGTCAAGGTGTATCAAACTGATATGACCAGAGAAGGGCTGGGGTTCCAATGGCAAGGTACTGAGCTGCCTGTAACAGAACACAGCTTGGACAGGGTGGGGCAGAGGGGAAGGTAGCTTTATGGAAGAGGTTTCTGAGATCCAGAGTTGGAACAGGTTTTGTTGTTGTTCAGTTATGTCTGACTCTTTGTGACCCCATTTGGGGTTTTCTTGGCAAAGATAACGAGTAGCTTGTCATTTCCTTCTCCAGCTCATTTTACAGATGAAGAATTGAGACAAAGAGAGTTAAATGACTTACCTAGGCTCACACAGTTAGTTAGTAAGCATCTGATTTGAACTCACCAAAATAAGTTTTTCTGACTTCAGTCCAGAAACTCTTCACTGTGCCACCTAACTGGGGGCTTTAGAGGTCATTTAATTCAACTGCATTTTACAGGTAGGTAAGGAAACACACCAAAAGGGGCTTAGTGTGATTTACCCGCTATCACCCACAGATAGCAAGCAGAAGAGCCAGGCTTTGAACCCAGGTTGTCTGTTTCCAAATTCAGTGTTTTTTCTGGTGTAACATGCTGTGGTTCTATGAACTTAAGTTTGACCAGATAGGGCAAGCAGGACAAATTGAAAAAGCCAACTAGTCCTAGCCAATATAGTCCAAATTTAAAATGGTGAGACTTTTATTTGTGATTTACAAGCCCAGGTAGTCCCAATATAATAGTCCAACACGATAGTTAAGCCAAGGATCTGTGCTTAATTGGCAAATGACAGGCTTTTGAGATGGTCCCCTACTGACAGGGAGGAGTGTTCAGAGCCTGGCTGCCTCTGCTCAATTGCTGGCTCATTGCTAAAAGAAGGGGGCACTTTGAAATAACAAAGTAACCCCCTGATTGGCTATTGAGCCAGAGGAGCTGTTGACTGGGGCAGCAGTAATGCCTGATACAGGCAGTGGAAGCAGTGGCTGGGTGTAGCAGCAGCAAGGGGAGTGATGACCCCATTGAAGCTAGTGAGGAATTAGAGTATTGAGCTTCAGCAGCCTGTGGGGCCACTACCTGCTTCTGCTTTCAGTAGCCAGATTGAGGGGGCTTTCCATTTAGGAGAATGGGTGCCATACAGTGATGTACTGTCTCTTTTTTATTCCCCCTCCTCTTTTTCCAAATTGAGCAGAAGCTGATTCCAAAGTTGAATCTGTTCTGTAATGTAATGGTCAACCCATTTTTGATTCCCCCACCTTGTAACACATCTTTACCTTGCATTTATTTGTATGCATGTTATTGTATACAAGTTACTTTTCTAATTTCTGTTTAAATAGTTTGATTTTATAGTTCTAGGTAGACAAATTGAATGGCTCTAACTGCTGTCAGTCTATGTGTTGCTTTTCTTTTCTTTTTTTAAATCTCTTTTTTTTATTATTATTTTTTTAGGCAGTTGGGGTTAAGTGACTTGCCCAGGGTCACACAGCTAGTAAGTGTCAAGTGTTTGGTCTGAGGCCAAATTTGAACTCAGGTCCTCCTGATTCCAGGGCCAGTGCTCTATCTACTGTACCACCTAGCTGCCCTTATGTATTGCTTTTCTTAAGAACAGGACCAGGATGGAGAGCTATGGAGATGAAGCAGAGGGAACAGGAAGAAAGGAATGAAGAAAACAAGCATTTATAAAGCACCTACTAAGGGTGAGACATTATGCTAAGGTCTTTACAAATATTATCTCATTTTATCCTTACAACAATTCTAGGAGAAGGATGCTATTATTATTCACATTTTACAGCTAAGGAAATTGAAGCAGACAGAGGCTAAGTGACTTACCCAGGTTTGTATAGCTAGTGAGTATCTACGTCTGAAATTGAATTCAGGTCTTCGAGGCTCCATTCACTGTACCACCTAGCATCCAAACAGCATTTGGATATCGACGTACAGAGATAGCTTAGCTCATCATTTCAGTCCATTAGAATTATCTGCTATCAGGTTAAACTCCAGATCTATATATTCTGCCCTAGTCTTTCTCCTGAGCTCCAGTCTAGCATGAACAACTTCTTTTTGGACATTTTGAATTGGATATCTTTTAGTCATCTTGATCTTAACATTCTAAAAACAGAGCTCATTATCTTTCTCCCAAGACCTTCCCCTCTTCCAAACTTCCCTATTTCTATTGGGGACACCTCCATCCTTCCAGGCACCCCAGGTTTCCAACCTTAGAGTCATCATCTACTCCTCTCTACCTCACCTGACATGTCCAATAAGTTGACAAGCATTGTCAATTCTGCCCCCACAGCCTATTCTTCACAAATGTCTTTTCCTCTTCACTCACATGGTCACCATTCTCAATTAAACCCTCATTACCTCTCACTTGAATTATTCTAATAATTGTCTCTTACTTGGTCTCCACGCCTTAAGTCTCTCTCCTCTCCAATTCATCTTCAATATGGCTGCCAAATTCAGATTCCCCCCTTTTTTTTTGGTGAGGCAATCGGGGTTAAGTGACTTACCCAGGGTTACACTGCTAGTAAGTATCAAATGTCTCAGGTCCTCCTGACTCCAAGGCCAGAGCTCTATCCACTGTGCCACTTAGCTGCCCCTAAATTGAGATTCCCAAATCACAGGTCTGACCATGTCACTTTCCTGCTCAAGAGCTTCAGGAGCTCCATTTTACCCCTAGGACAAAATACTAACTGGTCTATTTGGCATTTAGATTCCTTCACAATCTGATTCTAATTTACCCTCTTAGCTTTATTATACATTATTCCCTTTCACACTCTCTTCTCTCTTTTTAAACTGACCTTCTTGCTGTTCTTTAGATATGACATTCTATCATCTGTCTCAGTGCTTTTGCAGAGATCAACCCTCCCTCCATGACTGGAATACAATTCCTCTTCTCTCATGCTTCTTAGAAACCCTAATTTCTTTTAAATCTTAGCTTAAATGCTACTTTCTATGTGAAACCATTTTTGATTCCCCCACCTTGTAACACGTCTTTACCTTGCATTTATTTGTATGCATTTTCTTGTATACAAGTCTCCTCTATGCATTTTAAAAAAATTTTTTTGGTGAGGCAATTGGGGTTAAGTGACTTGCCCAGAGTCACACAGCTAATGAGTGTTATATGTCTGAGGTCAGATTTGAACTCAGGTCCTCCTGACTCCAGGGCTACAAGTCTCCTCTGGTAGAATTTCATCTCCTTGAGAACAGGGAGTATTTCATTCTTGCTTCAGTGTCCCCCAGTGCCTAGCACAATGCTTTATCAAATGCTTGTTGACTGACTGGGGTCTGGGATTGTTCTGTTTTGTCTTTGTGTCCCCAGAGTCTAATCCAATATTTTGTACTTAATAGGTACAGAATACATATTCAAAAGAGCTGGCCACAACAGGGTCACCCCCCCGACCCACACCTCTAGGTTCCTGTGTCCAAGCTGCTTTCAGACCAAGTGTCTGAAGAATTGTCATTAAATACTTGAAAGAACATGGGATTTAGAATCAGGAGATAGTTCTCCCACTTACTAAGTGTGACCTTGGATATGTCTTGCACCATCACAGGCCCTCAGTTTCCTTATCTGTAAAATTATGTTGGATCAGGTGATTTCTAAGATTCCTTTGACTCCTCAAATCCTATGAATGCTTAGAACAAAAAGGAGTAGGGATCAGGCAGGCAAAGATCTTGGATTCATGTGGAAATCAGTCCGCAGCTCAGCAATGATAAGAAAGATCATCATCATCATCATCATCATCATCATCATCATCATGAAATTCCAAGGACCAAAGAAGAGGAGCACACCTGGATATAGTCAGTTCCTTCCACGGACCCTGAGCTCCAGAACAGGATAAAATGTCATCAGCATTCATGTTCCTCAATGCATCAATTCACAACGAAACATGTTCTTACCAGGAAGCCAACCCCTTAAATCTAGGGAAGCCCCCTGAGGACTGGTGGTGAATTGGGCCAGGACAGTTGGGAGGAAGGAGGGATTCAGAGACCATGTCTGGCTTCCTCACCCTTCAATCCTGGGAAGCCCAGGCAGGGGCAGGAGGCACGTCCCGAGGGTCCAAAGTTAGGCAGGTGCTTCTGCTAGGCAAGCAAGTCAAACCTACAGCTCTTTTTCCCCTGGCTGGGTTGGTCCAGAGCCCAGGAAGCTCTGTTTGTCTGTTTACACAGAGAGCCTGGATAAGCTTATGTCCTTTGGAGGAGGCCTACTCCAGGAGTCAAAATAGCATGAAATTTAATTTTACACCTATTTGACCAAGCTTGATTCAGGCTCCAATCAGAAGGGGAGATAAGGGCCCTCGGGACAAGTGTGCCAGGCAGCTGTGCAGCTGGAGCTGGAGTTTTAACAGGCGGCGGGACAGGGACAACACTCGAAGGTCCCCTGGCAGGCCAGCCATTAAGGCGAACCCTATCTTCCGCCCACACGGGTTTCTTTGCTGTAGTGTTCCCCGGTTGCTGGGCGCCAAAGCAAACTCAGGCTCTGTTTGCCAAGTCTACTATGACAATACAGCCACCAAATATTTGTCAGCCGCCAGCTCTGGGGCCGACTATAAATACTTCAGCCACAGGTGGAGGGCTGCTGAATTCAGAGGAAGACCTGGGGGAGCCTTGCCTGGTCCCTGAAGGTAAGAGTTCCCAAGGGCACCAGAAAGAAGAGGGTTGGGAGGGAAGAGGAGCCATTTCTACCTCCTCCTAGGCCTTGAAATAATAGGCTATGATTATTCATTCTATGCTGAGTAATTGGATCCCCCGACATCCAACTCCAACAGAATGATGTTTGAGGTTGCTTATGATATTGTGTACCTATGTTGTGGAGCTGAAGCGAGGTGGGGGCGGGGGAGGGATATGGGTACCAAAAGGCATCTACCTCTCCCTTTCCCCCTTTACCCCAATACATATATAAACACCCTCTCCTTTCTTGGGGAATAAGGAGGATAAATGTCTATCTGGCATTCAGGGGGCAGTAGGAGAATCAGTCTTTCCTCTGCATAGCTCCCAAGGGGACCCGAAATAGAAAGAGAATATACTTGGAACCAGAGGTTTTGATTTAAGTTAATTCCTATGCGACCTTGGACAAATAACTTCCCCTCTTTGGGATTCAGTTTCTAAATCTATACAATGGGACAGGAGGTTTTAACTCAGTTTCTGAATCTGTAAAAGCTTGTGGGGGATAGGATGTAGTATTTTATAGTGCAAAGAGCACTGGACTTTAAGTCAGAAGACCTAGGTTCAAATTTTGACTCTACTACCCCATTTCCCTTGGGTAGCACTGTATCTCAAAGTCCACATTTATAAAACTAAAGGATCTGGACCTTTCCAGCTTAAAATCTATGATCCTACTGTTTCTAAGATCCCTTCCAATTGAAATCTAAAATCCTCAATCACACTCTTCCTTAATCTCTGTTAGTTATTAATCATGGAATTCTAGTGTTGGAATCACTTCCTTTTTTTGGACAGCAGAAGTTGGGGGCAGGGGGCAGGGAAGCACTATCCTTGGGAGGTATGTGGACATGAAGAGACCACAGGACATAGAAGATCAAGATACACAGACTTGCCAAAAAGAGGAAAGCAACCCATTTCCTGGACCTAATTGGGCCATGCTCCCTCAAAATAAGTCAGGGCAAAGGAATTTTTGAGACAAGAGGCAAGGCACAGAGGATTATAAATCTTTACTAAGAGGGGTTATTCCCACAACAAGTAGTTGGTTGAGTACTGCTATAAACCTACTCAGTGAATGGAAATTCATCAATGACCAAATGTCAGCCCAGAATAGCCATCCATTGATAACATGTGTCTGAAAGTTAGTCCCAGATTAACCCACTAATATTTACTGATGCCCACATCAGGGTGGCCCAGCCTGTTCTTTCCAAGGGCATAGGCTGTGACAGCTACAGTCCTGATTCTGTATTCCCAGTCTCTAATGCTCCTCGCTACCAATGTTGAGGCTTGAAGGAGATTTCCCAGATGTGAGCCATTCATAAGCCATTCATAATTTGGTACAACCACAGACTCTCAGACCTTGAAGGGACATCAAAAATCCATCTAGTCCAACCCTTCCCTGAAAACAAGGATCTCCTTTATAATTTCACTGACAATAGTTATGTACCCTTTGCTTGGAGAAATCCAATGATGAAGAGCTCACTACCTCCCAAGGCAGCTCACTTCAATTTTGGACAGTTCAAATTGTTAACTGGTTTTCTTTATATTGAGTGGAAATCTGCCTATCTGCAATTTCACCCTGTTGGTCCTAGTTTTGCTTTCTAGGGCCAAGTAGAAGAAGCCTAAACTCCCTTCCACATTAAAACCCTCCAGATACTTGAAGACTGCGATGATGTGCCCTTATCTTTTCTTCTCTAGGCTAAATATCCTCAGTTCCTTCAAATGTTTTTATATTGTATGATCTCCAGAGAATCTTGATAAAAGACAGAGGTTCTTACTCTTTCTTGTGTCATGGGCTCCTTTTGACAAACTCATAAATCCTAGAGACCTCTTCTCAGAATCATGTTATTGCATAAATAAAATACATAAAATTACAAAGGAAACCAATTACATTGAAATAAATGTCATTTTTGCACACCCAAGTTTATAGAGCCCCTGAAATCTATGGACCCCCAGTTAAGAACTCTGATATAAATGGTATTATAATATCTCTAAGGAAATGAAATGGAAAGTAATGTGCTATTTCAGGACCATTTCAAGGTTTCCTTTTTCTTTTAAACCCCAGCAGTAAAAACTTCCATATAGCAGCAGATTTTTTAAAAATCATTTTTAGTGTACAGGTTATGAGGCTTGAAAGCCAAAGTTTCTTAAATAATTCTTAAGATTCATTAGCATCTTAGATTGTATATATGTGAGACTTTTAAATATGTATTATCCTTTATTTTTCTTTGTTCCACAGGTTTTATTTACATTATATTTTATGTCAATTGTGTGTATGTGTGTGTGTGTGTGCGCGCCATTTCATTTTTTAAGAGAACTCAAAATTTCAAAAGAAAGAAATGTGAGAGGTTTTCTTCCAGGCTATTTAATAGCTAATAGTAATAATAATAATAATAATAATAATAATAATAATAATAGCCAGCATAGCTATAGATAGATAATAAATAGTACTTAAAGTCTTTCAAAGCAATTTATAAATATTTTCTCATTTTATCCTTATACCACTCTGAGAGGTAGGTGCTATTATTATATTCATTTTACAGATGAGGAAACTGAGTCAGACAGAGGTTAAATGACTCATCCAGGGTCACACTACTAGTAAGTATCTAAGGCAGGCTTTAAACTCGAATCTTCCTGATTCCAGGCTCAGTGCTCAATCCATTGTACCCCCCAGTTATCACTTATTTAAATAAGTCTAAAACGTCACCTGGAAATCCTATCATACAATTCTTGTATTGCCTACTTCTGGAGCTGAGGGCTCTGCCTCTCCCCAGACTCAGTCTGTTGGAAGGAGTGACAGAAAGATTTAACAAGTCAATCTGGCTTCAGGTGCTAATCCTCTTCTAGACATTATCCAGGTCTGACTTCCCTTCTGCCCTCATCTCCTCTCCCTGCTTCTCCCCCACACCCTTACACTCCAAGTAGGGTACCTCAGTGTCTGGCTAGTTCACTGCAAAGCAGGTGGGATAAACAAAAAGCATGTAAGACAAAAAGGCAAAAACCAGAACCTTTGGCCCAGTCTCTCCACCACCAAACTCATGATCATGCACGTCAGACATGAAAGAAAGAAAGAGAGAGAGAGAGAGAGGAGGGAGGAAGGAAGGAAGGAAGAAAAGAAGGAAGAAAAAGAAAGGAAGGAAGAAAGAAAAGAAAGAGAAAGAGGCATAAGGTATAAGAAGATAGGGGTGTTTTCCTATAGCCTTGGAGATCCTCATTTTGTCAGGAAAGTGCAATACTTCTATTCCTCTAACCCTAACTCCCTCTCCCTTTCAGGCCATGAAGATCATAAAGAAACTTTAACTTAGGAAGGGCATGAGCAAGAACAAAAGAAAGGTGTTCTGGTTCACTAGGGCGATTTTAGGAAGCTCATTTGACTCTGAACAATGAAAATAATAAACTATTAAAAACGGTGATAAAACCTCCCGTTTATATAGCACTGTAAGGTTTCCTCACAATAATCCTGTAAAGTATGGAAACTGAGGCTCAGAGAGGTGAAATGATTTGTCCAGGATCACCCAAGCCAGTAAGTGCTGGAACCAGGATATAAACCAAGGCTTTCCAAGTCCAGCACTCTTCATTACACTAACTCATAGAAAGAAGTGCCAACCACCCTGGCTGTAGGCTGAGCACCACAGAATTCTCCAGAGAGGGGAAGGTGAATCTGGAGCTCCTATTTAATCTTGCAATGAGCACAGAGATCTGAATGCTTTGAGAATTTGAATGCCTTGAAATCCACTCCATTGCTCAGCTACTGGTCAAGTGCTGGAGCATCTCTTCCCTCCAATCTGGGACCTTCTTAGCTTCACAGAATCAAAGAGCTGCAAGAACCCTAAGAGTTTCTCTAATCCTATCCCCCACATTTTATAGAAGAGAAAAGTAAGAACCTGTAGGGGGAAAGAAGGAATTTGCCTAATAATATAGTAAGTGGTAGAGAATGGACTTGAACCCAGATTTTTAGACTCCACATCAAGTATGTCATTGCTGTAATCATGCTGTCTCAGGGCATCCTTGCCATGGTACTGACCCAACCAGGCCCTGTATCATCTATCAAAGGGCAGCCTTGGGGGGCAGCTGATTCCTGATGACTTTGAAGGGGTTTACAGCCTCCCAGAAACACTGTCTGAGCTTCTTGCTCATCCTTTGGCAAGATGGAAGGCTGCAGATAACAGCAGACTAAAATCTTTTACACCCACTGAGCTGTGGTGGATGTCAAGCAGGAGGTGACGAGAGGAAGAGGAAACTGCTTTTTTTTCTTCTTCTTTTTAATCTTCATTTAAAAAATGCATATTCTACCACTGGAAATTCTTTAAGGATTCCAAAGACACTTTAGGTAATTATGGACTACAGGGATAATTTTATGGGCCTTAATTTTTTAAAAATATTTTTGATACTCATTTTTATATCACCTACATTTTTCAAGGTCTTCCTCCTACCTCCCCTTCCAAAAATAAAAAAGAGAGAAGAAACAGTTCAGTAAAACTAACCAACTCAGCAACATACTCTGACCACATAAAGTGGTCCACACCCATAGTTTCCTCACTTCTGCAAAGAAGAATGGGGAGGTGCCTTCTCACACCTCTTCTTTGAGACCAAGCTTAATCATTATAATTTCATAGTGTTCAAATTCGATTGTTTTGTTGCTCTATTTACATTGTTATAATAATTGTGCATGCTACTTTCTTACTTTTCCTTACTTTGATTTGTATCAGTTCAGTGTCTTTCCATACGTCTCTGAATTCATCAAATTCACTGGTTCTTATAGCATAGTAATATTCCATTAAATTCACATGCCAAGCTGTTTAGCCATTTGCCTATCCATGGCCATCTTCTTTGCTTCTAGTTTTTTATTACTACAAAAAGTGCAGCCATAAAATTTTGGTATATATGGGATCTTTCATTTCATCACTGACCTCTTTGGGGAATATACTTCACATTGAGCTCTTTGGAACAAAAGAAACAAACATTT